ATATATATATATATATAGGCAGTAGCTTATTCATTAAAAAAATACCCTCCTTCCTTTCCACTCCTTGACAAATGTATGTCAACTAGGTTTACAGTAGATTAGTTGTGGCAGTAAAGTGGAAACTGAAAAATAAAGACTTGAAAAAAAGAAAACTCAGATTATGCCAGTCTAAAAACTTGCTCTGTGCCTGATAGCAAGTCAAAATAGTAGAGCATCAGCTGAAAAAAAAAGAAGAAAGCAAACCAGTTGTTGCATCAGCCTAAGAATTTAAAGCAAATATCCTAGAAGTGAAGAATGGGAGGGAGATGAAAGTTGCAACAGGAAAACAAATAGGGAACTTCTTCTGTTTTTGTGTAAACTATTCCTCAAATATGGAATCAGTTTGAGACTTTATGAGATAGAATTAGAAGACTATTTTGTATTTCTTCTCAAATTATAAATCCTCTTCTTATCTAAAGCTGTCTGATTAGCCAATGCACATTTCCTGCTGTTCCATAGTTTCTTGAGCTCTTAACAAGAACACTTCCTCTAGAGATACATGATTGTGCAAATGCATGATTGTGCAAATTGTGCAGTTGGACCTGTTTATTTATTATTAATGAAGCAACCATTAATATATGGTTAGAAATGATTTATGGGATCATCTGGAATATTAGAGAGAATTTTAAAACAAACTGAAGCTCTCAAGTAAAATAGATTTTCACCATAATTATTCCCCTCTGTGAAATAAAGAAACGTTTAGGACACTCCACATATGACCTCCAAGCTCCTCACATTGTATCCCTAAAATTTAACAGCAAAAAGTGGTAATGTTTTTGTTTTCAAAACTAAGTGAAATGATCACAGTAGAAGGTCCACATTTTCTTTTTTCGTCCTCTTAAACATCCCAAACGAACATTTTAGGCCCATTATAGTCTTTTTCATAATTTAAAAAGAAATTTTGAAAAAGGATTTTAAGAGTGAAAATATACATGGAAAGTAAATTGTTCTAATTCTCACACGTGACGGTAAAATGTTCCTGCAAATGGATGATTTCAGGTTTTTTTGTTTGCAAACAAATTCATAGGATGGCTTATGATTTTATAAAGCTTTGCATGTGTTGCTGATCTCAATAGTCAATGGAACATGTCCTTCCATGGACAACATCCACACGTTAAAATAATTATTACATACAGAATAATGATGTTTTTCAGTACCTCCTCAGCCTATTTTGATATATTCCTCCTAGGATCTCACTCTTTAATTTCATGCTTTCTTTTTTCCCCATATTGCTCAGAACCATTATAGGTAGTCCTTGAGTTATGGTTGTAAATTGTAATGGTCACATTTTACGACTTTTATAGTAGTTATTTTGAATCCACTGTTTGCTATGGTGGGATTTTGCTGAAAACCAAAGTTCATGCTGCTTTTTGGCAAAACTGGTGTAAAATGAGGTCATGTGACCATGGGCTACTCCAAATAAATACCACCTGTTACTGAGGGCCTGAAGTGTGATCACATGACCACAAACGCCTCTCAAATCCCCAGAACTTCGGATCTGGGCCACAAGTCCCCCTTTTCATGTGGGTTATAACTTTGGTCATAAGCAACCAATTATAAGTCAAAGACTACCTATAATTTAAGTTTTGTTACTTCAGTTTTGATGGTGCAAGTTTAAAGCTACCATGTCCAATGTTTCGCATTGGCATTTATCTGCTATCAAGAAATTCACATGTATTTTTTTTTAAAAAATGGGTTCCTTTCACATAACTGCAAAAGTCAAGCATGTATGTTTGAATGTTTATTTTATTTATATGCTGCCCTTTCCCCCCAAAGGGGACTCAGGGCGACTCACAACTCAAACCAGGGAAGGGGGGATACAAACAAAAATTAAAACGACACAAAACAATGCATAATTTAAAACACACAACAGTCATACCATTCGAGACAGGGGCAAAGCAACAAAAGTTTGAAGAAACTTTAATAGTTACCTGACGAACGGCTAAAGCGTACTTTATCCCTAGAAGGCCTCCATGCCTGACTTCCCACTGCTCCTGTGTAAGTAATTTTAGCAGGATAGCAACAGTTTTATGGACTCCACTCTCATTCATGTGTTTCAGCACAACTCCCAAAGTTTGAGCACAAGTTTCTCGCACAGGTGCCACTACCTGAGGTTAGAGGAAAACAACACTCTTATAGGTGCGATTAAAAAAAAAATTAGGATATGCATAGAAACGTTGAAGGCACATACTTACTTCATCTGAAACAAAATCACCAAATCTGTCTAAAGCAAATACACAAAGAAGCCTGATAGCCAGATCTTCCAGCCAATCTTGGTGTTGTTGAATCATCTGTTTATCAAAGAGATTTTAAACTGATGAGAAATTAAAATATTTCCCCTTGGTATGAAAGCATTGTTAGAGGTAACCAATAATGAAACAGGGAAAATAAAATTCTGTGGTTTTCTATTAGACTGTTTTATTATAAGGTGCACCATAAAAGATTACTCTGTTCCTGAGAAACTTTATTTATTTAAAAAGATACGGGCGTTTATACTATATCAGAGCCGAGGTGGNCCGGTGAGATTTGAACAGCCGAACTGCAGAACTGCAGTCAGCTGAAGTAGCCTGCAGTGCTGCATTTAACCACTGCGCCACCTCGGCTCTTGTGGCTCAGATCTGGCTCGTGGGTCCGCTGTGAAAACAGCGAAGGACCGGCCTATGGTGCCTCTGCCAGTGAAAATGGAGCTTGGGAGGGCCACACAAGTCCTCTCTGAGCTCTGTTTTGGGGGGTTGCAGGAGGCTGTCGTGGACTAAAACAGAACCGGGAGGGTCACGTGTGGCCTCCCCGAGTTCTGTTTTCGCTGGCCGAGGGCTGCAAGAGGCTGTCATGGCTCAAAACAGAGTCTTGATGAGTGACGTTGAGCTGACCACACCCAACATGGCAATGCCCCGCCGCCCCCCTAGATCAAACACAACCCTCAGCGAAATCGAGTTTCACACCCCTGCTCTAGCATATAACAATTATTTTGATATGAGTCGTAGCAATTCTTTTTCAATGTAATAGTCAACTTTGGATAGAAAAGCTAAGAGTCATATCTGTAATGCCATCATCCTAAATTATAATTAACATTGATGGGATATTTTTTCTTTCACTTTTTTATTCTCAATATTCTAAGCCATTTAAATGTTGTTAATTTTTAAACAAATAACAGAAGCTTCAATGTGGAAATAGGGAAATGTACTAAGATTTATAATAAAGAGAGGAAAAACATACTTGTTATTCAATGCATGTTGTAAAATTATTGTAGAATATTATTTGTTCTTCAGTGAACAAACTATATACAGACCCTTCCAATTTCATTTCATTTCATGCATGGTGCTCATAAAATCAAACAATTAAGGCTAAAACTCAACCATCAGAAAAGATACACAGATTTATTAATAAGGTAATGCAAATGTAAGGCCTAATGGGACACATACCTTATGTATTAATTCTAAAATTTCTTGGTTACTTTCCAAAATACAGAACTGAAAGATATGTCTTAACATGTCTTGCAAAATGGGAGTTAGCCAGCTTGCAGAAGTCTAACAACAAAAAGGAATACATAAAAAATATTTTAATTATCAGCAAATGGCTTTAACAAAACAGGTCAGAATTACCATACTGCAATACGGCAAGTTTAAATGACTCATCTGCACTACATTAGTTGTATTTTTAAATACTGGGATTGTTGTAATAATGAAAAATGCTTTGAATGTGCTATAGAGAAAAACAAAAGTGGAAAATGGGATTTCTACATAAGCATGAATTATTTATTTATTATTTATTTATTATCAAAATTTATATGCCGCCCAATCCCGAAGGATTCCGGGCTGCTTACAAAAAAAGAAGAAAAAAAGAGAGAGAAAAAAGACAGTTTAAAATCACAAAACAACATGCATTCATTCTAATAGGGGCTGGACCTCAACAATAAGGTCAACAGCCCCAGGCCTGCCGGAACAGCCAGGTTTTTACCGCTTTCCTGAAGGCCATGAGAGTGGGCATGGTCCGGATCTCTGGGGGCAGCTAATCCCAAAGAGTCGGCGCAGCCACAGAGAAGGCTCTCCTCCGGGGGCCCGCCAGCCGACACTGTCTGGCT